GTAAATGCTTACTAAATTCTTGTCTGATTTTGAATATGCCAAACAGATGTAAAAACCATGTTGGACAAGTGCAATAATTACCCAGGTATAAATCCCCGCATTGTGTCATTTGATACACAATGTAATTATTTGTCCTGAAGAAACACACTTACGCGCGCACGCACGCACGCACACACACATATATTGTTTTGTACTGATCACCTTTCTTATACAAATAACCATCTATACTACTTATCAAGTTGTTTTTCAGGTACACTGGATACTGTTTCTTATGTTGAGGGGCGGTGGGGTAGCCTTGTGGTTAAATAGGCAACTCGTCACGCCGAAGGCCGGGGTTCGATTCCCACATGCACATGGATACAATACGTGAAGCTTTTTCTTGGTGTATCCCGCCTTGATATATGATGAGATATAGAATGTAGATACTTTTTAAAATTCACTCGGTTCACTAATTCAATCGTGGGTGTTAAAAGATTAGGTTCAGAGTTCGCAAAGATACACACAAACACATGTTTGTGACATACTTTTCACACTTGGTATTGGGTATGTAGTGGTATGGTGTGAAGATGTATTTCCTATGAGTTTGGAGAACACTCGTGTCATTCGGGGAAAAGCCGGAACGGTAATGTTACTACCGAAAGATAGCATTTCAATTATATACACACACGCATGTGTGCGCGCTATATACATTCATGTAATGTGTGTGTAAGTGAAATGCTATATACATTCATGTAATTCACATGTGTATATCTATTGTTAATTAACCTGTTTAATATTACTACTTTTTCAGAGTGACGAAAACTATTATTCCTAAGTATACTAATACAATGTTACGAATGTTATATTTGGGATAAGACTTTCTTAGTAAAGTAAATATTCTCGTACTTTTGGGGGGTAATTGCCAGCACACAAAGTCTGCGATGTAACCCACTCAGCCACCGAAGCTTCCACTTAAATGAAAGTCCGACAACTGGTAGTCTAGATCACGTACTTTGTGTGCTGGCGATTACGTGCCTCACTCTGGCAAGTGTGGGTTCGAATCCCGGACGGTACTCTACCCCCAAAAAGTGCGAGAATCTGCACTTTACGATAAGAAAGTGTTATCCCAAATATAACATTTGTTACATTTGACCACTTTCTAAATGGTATTGTGTATTCATAAAACAATGTTGCTTTGAAATTCCTTTTGTGTAAACTGGAAGTAAATAAATGTAGATGAATGAGACTTTTGATGACAAAAATAGTACAGTTATATGTTATTGGTGTCCGAAAGGACAGGTGGTTCTAAACACCTTCAACAAAGTAAACGGACCAATACAGGGAAAAGATGGTCGTGTCAGTGGAAAGTGTTACGTGGATGTAATATTGTTTTCAACTGGGAACCATCATGTTTTCTGATCGTGTGTATCTTCTTATTAAAAAAATATAAAAGAGATGATAACAAATATTTGAATAAAGTATGCAACATTAGAGTTAGAAAGATTTAAAAACGTGGAAGAAATTTGAATGATTTCCGTAGCTCCGCTAGAAAAGGGTCGGGCCCCTGTCAATGGAAAACCTATATTTCGAAAACTAATGCCATTCATTATTAGCCATTTGATGCTGAAACGTTGTGCACATTCAACTAAAATTGACCTTCAAAAGACACGAAGGCATTCGAAATGTTGTGTTGTGTAACGCCGCATTTAGAAATGGTCAAGCTGTATGACGGCGGCCTGTAAATAATCGAAGATGGATCAGACAAACCAGTGGCTGATACTGTGAGCATCTTCCTTCACCATAGAGGCACGATGCCATCCAATCAACCACTTATTGGAGCCTGCCCATCCGACCAATTCAGTCATTCTCATTCATGGTCTAGACTTGGTATTAAGTGCAATATGTGGCACTGAAACATTGTCTCTGGGATGCGAGGGCAATTAATAACTGTTAGACTAATATACATAATAACAGAGTAGTGTTGTAAACGATATTAATCAAATTTGCTTTGAGCGCCAACTTGCCGAGCCTAGCTCTCCTTTTTAAGAACACCAATGAAATAGAAAGCAACGTTCTAATGATACCATTTATTGGTCTAGGCATCAGTGCCGAATGTGTTTACCATGGCAGCAATTGGCTGCATCCAAACAAAATTATAAACTTGCGTTGCTTTTAGAAATGTGTACACAAGCACATGTACAGGCACACGCACGCACGCACACACACACACACACACACACACACACACACACACACACACATATATATTGTTTTGTACTGGTCACTTTTCTTATACAAATAACCATCTATACTACATATCAAGTTCTTTTTCAGGTCATAGTGACTGAAATGAATTGAATGTTGAGACTTGTGTTAATGTGGTTATACCACTGAAATATGGCCGATGCAATGTTCAATATTTACTAATCTTAAATATAAGTTCTTGTTAAACTGGTTGTAGAATTTGATTGAATCTGATATTCACCTTCAACAATGCCAAGAAGATGAAAAGGGTAATGATGGTAATACTCACAGCTATTATAATTATTAATAATTCCTGACATAATGTTTATAAGGAAATGTGAGACAGGTTGAAACTTGAGATTCAATCTGAAAAATGACCCTGTCCATAATTCTGACATATGGCCACTTCAAATGAATTTAATGATGTGGAGAAATTGTTGGAACAAAAATTAGAATATAAACATGTCCCTTGAGGAACAAGCACTCATAATTTGTGATCTTCACCATATCCTGGTGTTCTCATTCAAATGATTATCTGCACCATAAAGCACTCTCCATGTGTAACCATGAGGAAAAAACACCAACCAACTATATTTTCATATTCAAATTAAGGAATTCTTTATACAAATTTATATCAAATTCAACAAAAAAGGACATTAATGTATTTAATCTGCTCAGCTAACAAATAATTAACTATTGTTATTATTAGACTAAAAGAAAAGTCAGGGAAATAGGAAGGGTTGTCCTTGTGATGGTTTGTAAATCATTAAAGAATTGGTTATTCTTTAGGGATAATGTCATAATTCTGGAATCTTTAACAGTTTAGGGGCAGACATTCTAGCCGTCATCTGGGTAATAGCAGAAATAGGATTGCACAGGCTCAATTAAATTCTTAATTTATCATTTGTATGCAGGATTATGACTTGGGAGAAAAATGATGGTTTTGACAACCAGTTTTAATTACCATTCCAAGCTCACTTTTCAACTTCCAAGTTAGCTCATGACAGATTGACTTAATAGTTTCTGGTTTGTTTGACCCATTTTGTGAATCTTAACTGTTTCTATTTATCATCTTTTTGAAGACATTTCATGGGATAAACAATTGACATGACAGTTGGCCTGATATCAATGTTTTCATAATATATGACCAATACTTAAAAGCTACAATGCCCTTTTCATAATCATAAGAAATCTCCACTAAAAGCAGAGTTGGATGTAAGATTCCATAATGTTAAATAGGACTGTGGCAATGGCATTCCTTGGTTTAATTGTTGCCGCTATAAGATTTCCATTTCTTCTGATGGAAGATAAATCAAGTAACAAATTTTATTAAGTAAAGGAATTAATTATGCATATAAAGTTCTGTGTTTGAATTGTCAAGTAAATGGTATCCATGGCAGAATATTTGATATGATCTGCTTGAACTGTGGGTTACTGGAGAGTAAATGCTATATAGATACATATATAAAACTGTACTTCTTATGGGGACTTGATTTTTTTTATATTCAGAGCAGATTAGTTATGTGGCTCCATTGCATAGTGCCCACCAGTGAGTGTTTATGGTGCAAACTGCTCTCAGTAATGTCATTGTGGCATGACATCAAGAAGGGATTCCACCAATGGTCATCATGGGAAACTACACCCAATATGAAGGACAAATTTGTTTCCTAAAAAAATACTTGAATGAATATAACCCTAAATCAGTGTAGAATATACAGATGGTCTTGACCTCCAAGATCAACAACTAGAGAACAAGAATTTTCCAAAGCAGAAGTTAGTCCAATACCAACATTCAAATAACCATGTCTAGATTTCAGCTAATGGCAGTGTTCTTTTGTAAAATAGAGAATAAAATAAGATGTGAGTCCTTTGTGGGGCATAGGTGCAACTGTGGCATATCATTAGTGATAAAGTGAGTATGGTTTCACGCTGCTTTTAGCAATATTCCAGCAATATCATGGTGAGGGACACAGAAATGGGCTTCACACATTGTACCCATGTGGGGAATCGAACCTGGTTGCTTGGCATGACCAGCAAACGCTTTAAACACTAGGCTACCCTACTGCCCCTGATATCATAACTATGCATGATATCAAGTGGTCCTAAGTTAGCAGAAATTAGCATTTATCAGAAAGTTGGTTCATCAATTCTTTGGAAAGCATCATTCACCAATTCACATTTACATGTAAGCTACAAAGTATGCAGTTATCCGACTTTGTATTCACTGTAAAATATAATGGCATAGAGTTCTTTTGTACAACAGAGAATAAAATAAGATGGGAGCTGAAAATGAATGTCCTTTGCAGGGCAGAACTTGAAACTGTGGCATGATATCATAACTATGCATGATATTGTGTGGTCCTGAGTTAGCATAAATTAGCATAATTAGCAGAAAGATGGTTCAGCAACTCTTTGAAAAGCATCATTCAACAAATTCATATTTACATGTGAGCTACAGAGCATGCAGTTAAAAGTTCTTCATCCAACTGTATTTTCACTATAAAGTGTACCTTTGACAGTAACACCAGACAATGGGTCAGTGACTGGACTGATGCTGAATGACTTACTTTGATCTGTTCATTGCAAGGACTGTATGTCGTTATATTTTCCTTTTAGTTGTGCCTGTCGGAGAGCCACAACTCCAGAGTTTGGATTGGTTTGGTGTTGATGGAGTCGTACAGTAGAGGTTTCTTGTGGTTACTGAATTTGCATGTCCTTTTTGTTTTGATTTATTACGTTATCATGCAATCCAGCACATTACCAACAACAACTAGAAATTTATGATGAGGATTTTATTATCTCATACAATCCATTATAATAATCAAATACATAAATATTCCTTCTGAAAAATGGTGTAATACAATGAGTCACTATAAACAATGTCATGACGTCCAGTTTAGGGTATCTTGTTAAACACATTCTCAAAATAGTTGTAAATGCTTGAAACAAATATAAAAGGGTTTGATTCATAAAACGAGCATTGTCAATGTATCAATGATAACATGTTTTTTGTTATTATAGAAAATAACATACAAAAACAACTGACATCTGCCCCAGGTCAGCTTGAATAATCATTGTGCTATTAGTCTAAATACCTTGACATTTGACAATAATTGCTAAGGTACAACCTAAGCTCAAAACACTTGTATTCAGGCACTCCACTGTTTATAATCATTGCATTTTCATTAAACTTTCTTTAATTGTTGAGTCTTATGACATGGTACCTGAGAGAAATTAAAGATTCAAATTGCTGCGAATTTGATTACTGAACCCTTGAGTGTAAACCAATCTTTGAGCATAAGACACAGCCTTTGATCTTGAAATAGCTACTTACAGCTTATCTTCATTCCTATATCAACTTTGATTTGAATCCACCTGAGAAAACAGTGTAATCAACAACATTGCATTTTGTCATGAAGATGCACATATTTAGCCCCATTTGAACTGGAAGATCACTCTTGGCTGAATATTCTTTACAGTAACTCACATGAGAATGACTTTGAACAATGTGTGCTGTGTAACAAGAAATACCCTTGTGTTATTAAAACAGATTATGTCTTGACAATGATTTGATATCCTATCATGTCCATACATGTGCCTCGACGCCAATATCAAAGTTACTGGGAGATAGATATATACACACAGACAGTGACAGATGAGACAGCAAGGTACAAACAATTATTTAATGTCACAGGAAGACACTACTGGCAGACTTTTAATCCTTATTGGATGAAAATATGCAGCTTTTTTCTGAGATAAAGGGACCAATAATGTGTAAACATTATCTCAAAATCTCTAACTTATATGCTGTAAATTCATTTTTATAACATTTACAATTAAAAGGACCTCAACAAAATCAAAGGTAAAAGAAGAATATTGATTGTATATTTTGAACAATTGGATAACTTTGAAAGGCACACAGATTCTGAGAACATTTTTGAAATTCTCTTCCTACCAGTAAACGTGTGAATAGAATGAAGGAATGACTGATTGCATCCTGTTGTGGTAACAGTAATGAGAAGATGAAAGGTGAAATGAACGTCTGTTCATATCACATGTATGGATATCATATATATCAAACCTCATTCTCATCAAACAGTGACATATTGCCACATTTATACAGACATCGCAAAGAATATGATGTCAATAAGTATCCATGCATGTCAAAATGACATCACAAGCAATGACAATATTCCCACACAGAAATGTTTTGAAATATTTACATCAATCTCAATGTCGCTATATCACAAAGTCTTGACGAAAAATGTCATCACACTGATGAGATTCATGTAACATTCACATTAATCCAAAGAATGCAAGTCACGAAGTTCTGTAATTCAAGATGTTGGTGCCATATGCTGAAATGTGAAAATGTCCTTTTTTAAAGGCAAACTTTTGTCAACACGAGATAACTATGTTACTACATGAAGACATAACGACAATGATATATACATCGTATTTCACACAGCTGTCACTGTATAATTCTGTTATCACAACGTTGTTCCATTCAGTCTTGTCCCTCCTTGACAAGTGTTTTTTTTCAGACACGCAGGTGTCTTCTTTGACAAGTATTGTCTAAGTCCAAGTTGTATTCAGCACAACAAATGTCACATAATGGAATTATATTCCAGTGGTAAGATATCACATATATGAATACATTATCTTCATAACAGATCAGTTCATATCAGAGAACGTCACTATCAGTTTACATATATTAGAAGTACCATGTGAATTTAGTTAACAATTACTTTTTTAAAACTTACTTTGAACTGAATAATTTGTTCACCTACCACTGAAAAGAGATATCAAAATTATGCACCTGGGTAAGAAAACCATACAGATAATTGTAAAAATAAGTGTTGGCAAAGGAAAACCCTATTAATGAGCAACATCACTAATAATATGCAAATCATTAACAAAAAGGGACATGATAGCTTCACAGTCTCAAATAGAAAAAGATTATTTATGCTAAATGCGATGAAGCTTCAATACAGCAATCTGACTCTCATTGTTATCTGTTATGAACTGATCTCCTTTGAACTGACAAAATGTCCAAGCAGCACAGGTCCAGAAGAGATCTTGATGATATTGCAAACATCCCCCATGTTTCCAGCTATAACACAAAATGCTGAGGATTGTTCATATTCAATGGTTGGAGTTCAGTGGAATCTGCGATGTGCATGCTTCGTAAAACATCAAGACGACCAATATTTTTCAGAGCTTGGATCAAAACACCCACTGTTGCTGCATCACTTTTGCTCCATTCTTGAATCATGTGTCGCATTGGAATAACAGAATCTTGCTTTGACTTGGATTCAAAGCCAGATATTTTTCTACTGTTGAATCCTGAAATAATACAGGAAGAAATTTAAAGATAGTACACATTACTATATGCCTAGACAAAAGTATAAACCAGACAATATATAAAAAGTATCTTCTACACATTATCTTGGGATCGGTTCAACAAGAAATCATTTGTTAAAGAGAAATGTAGGTCTTAAAATGTCTTCCATGGCTTGAATAATAAAAAACTCTCCATCTATGATTCATCAATGTGTTTTGTTCAGTTTGAATTTTGTACTAATACATGCCCAAAACTATATTTAACCAACTTATTTAATACAGAGCCATTAACCTGTAAGGGACTAAGAGGCAAAACATATATTTTCTGGCGGTTAAATGTTGTTTAGTTGATCACATAATTTTTTCAAAGATCAAAGATGATACCACAGTTTACATAGGCACAAAAAAATTCAGTATTTCAAAAGCTAATTAAAAAATGATTGCATTGATCTCTTCCTTTCACGAATACACTGCTGGGATGCACTGTTTCCTTTGTCAAGTCTCTGCTCATGGAAAACCTAATGCACACTGAGCTTTGATCAACAATATCTGTTCAACATAAATTAGATTTTACATTCATTCTTTCTTTACATTCAGACATTCATACATTGATAAACATGACAGGAATGGATCACAAGATCTGTTGTAGTTTGTAATATTTAAAGTTGTAGTTTTTCACGTCTAATTGTCTCTGCGTCGACTCATAACCTGAATAGCCTAATCTCTATGGCTCAACCCAGCCGAGACTTTCAATAATTTTATTGCCCTAAACTTCTAAAAGCCTATGGATATTAAAGCAAACAATGCGGAAGATATTGAATAGACTATATTTTTATGATTCTAACTGAGCTCAGCGAAGTCTTTCATTTAGATGAACACAAAACCATCTGTCGGATAGAGCAAGGTGAGTGGTCAGGCTTGGATACCTTGATTGTGTTTCAGTTAAACAAGTCCTACAGGAAAGTAGATTTACTACAGAAAAAGTTGCTGTGCCATTTGTTTTTCCTTCATTTAAGAGCCTGAAATATGCTAAAGAATGATTTCTTCATAAAAAGTAGGAAAACTTCTAAGCATAAGGAACAAATTTACTGATCAATATCAGACAATGAATGGATAGGGATTGTACTTTGCATTTTTTCACATAACATATTTCCATATAACTTGATATGTATCATCAACAGTCTTCTAATAAGGACTGAGTGAATAAACATATTCAAAATATCAGAATTTCAAACATTGCTTTGAACTGCCTTATAGTGAGGGACATGAAGACTGTGAAGTCAGGGTGGTGGAGAGAAGAGCCATAAGTCTGTCAGAGGAGGTGAAGCAAATAGCTAAAAGGCAAGTCAGTGACACTCCTGCCTTTAGAAGTAGTTTTATTGCCTGTTGCCTGAAGCTGCCATGGATCAAAGACTAGCTGCATACACTTACATACATAGGAGTTTTCTGTTGAGGAATGAGTACAGACTTGAGTGATGTTAGATTAGCATTCAGTATACCCAAAGTGAAGCCAGACATGGTGGATAAAGACAGACCTTTTTGTAACAATAACTGCTTTGGTCAACAGTTTAGGAAACTATTTATATCTCAGTAGGTGAATGTTATGTGTGTCCTTTTAGAAAGATTAACTTATTATTTTACTCCTATTAACTCTCCAGTTTCATTAAATGATTAACTTCTAGACCTCAGCTTGACTGATGTCACTTATGGTTCCTTCATCATTATTGAGCCATGAAATTTAGCATTAACTAAGAAAGTGAGCTAATTGGATTCAACAGAATAACCCCTCATTAAAAGTCATTTGTATTTTTAATCAATTGAATTAAGCATGAATGATAAGCACATGACCTACATTCAAAAGCATAGTGGCATTAGCAAAGCTGATTGATTGGTAATGGTTGAAGGGTTTTATAACTGTTAGGTTGTTGAGAAATGTTTTTGCCAGCAACACTTGGTATACATACCTATTTCCTTCGCAAGCCCTCTCCATTCTGTTTGACTTGCACTCTGAGAGAAACACCGCTCCAGTTCCCTTTTCTTAGCTTGTGGCAGGTCTCGTATCCTAGTTGCACATGTTACAATGGCTGCAAACGAAAATAGGCATATATACACTTAATGCTTTACCACAAAAGCTAATATGTATACAATTAGCTAGCAGTAATAATAGATGTGTATCTTGTTGTATGAGCAACACTAACATGCAGACTGACCCATCTAGCATAGCAAGAAGTTGCATTATCTACAAAATATTTCATTTGGATTTGTTGGTTCTTAATTGTAAATCCAATCAGAAATTAAAATGTGAATATGATTATGCCAAAGAAACTCCTTCCATATTTCCTTTCCTTTGAGTCTTCTTTTATATTTTTTGTAGCAGGGTTATTAGCTACTTTGAAACACTTTCTTGCCCTTAGAACATCCTTTGATGTGCTGATAATTTAAACATCCCCTTTACACTAAAATAGATTCATTAGTCATCAGATATCACATTCATCCATATCATAATTCCTCCACTGTTCAGTGAATCTTTCTTTCATTTCTTTTATTCTCAAGATTACATAATCAATACACTCCTTCCATCCATTACAGAATCAATGGCAATAATTTCTGCAGTGAAGCCAAGCTCTAATCCTAGTGACACATACCCATAACCCTTCCTCAAACTACACCTACTTCAAATTTTATGACATGATTTTATTTCTAAGCAGGGGAGGCAACCCTGCTATCTGACAATACGAGTCGCTCTGTTTGGAAGTGGACAACCCCACTCACACATTTAATGGCACATGAAAGAATGTACATTATCGATTAGTGGCAACATTCTCCGCTTTTTGTCAGTAGCTAGGAGTAATTGATAATATCACAAGAGGCGAGTGTTAGTTCGCCTATTGAGTCCCTTTGAAGTAGAGAGCAGTCAGTTTTATACCACTTTGATCACCAAACTCTACATGCATAAAGTTTTAATTCATTGCCACTGTGGATTCATCAAAGATTGTGTTATAGCTCTGACATCAGTTGTCGGGGACAAAAATTTCGCTGCGAGCTGTCGATTCACCATTGATGCCTGTATGATGTCCTTTATCAAATTCATATACATACACCTAAAAGATTGAACACAACTTTTCTGTGCTTGAGATGTGTCTCTAGGAGATAGCCTACAGGTTCAAATGGGAACAACCAAGTGGGGCTTATTCACAATGAGGGGAATGTGTTCCTGAGGCACTTAGTTAGAGGGGCAATTTAAAGCTGGGAGGTGTTTTACATTACTTTAACTGGATGGATTTTGCAACTTGACTACTGACGCAAAAACAATCAGACCTGTTTTCTAAATGTCATAGTTGTTTTAAAAAAAGAGTGTGAAATCCATGGCTACATTCTTTAAATAACTGCAAAAGTAGCACTGATGCATGATGGAATATCCATAGTCAAAAATACTAATTCTAATGTGATTAGGCAAACTAATCAACAAAATGGGTCTTTTAGGGACACAACTCTCCAGATTCAAACAAATAAAATAACTGTTTTTAATTTGTCTACCTTTCATTACATTTTTTGATATCTATCTTAATTTATTACTTTTTTTTACATCTATCCAAACTCAGCATCAGCCAAAGTTGTCTTGGCACTTCCACCCAGGGAGATATCAGACTAATATTGTAACAGAGGGAGGTAAATGGACTTACCACAATTAGTTCCCTTTTGCTGATGTTCAACTTCCACATAAATCCCACTGTCTCCACCTGAAGCTTTAGAGTATTCAACATCCTCATGAGGCTCTCGTACAAGACGCTTTTCCTTCATTCTGCGATAGTGAACAAGAATAACGTATCCCAGAAGTCCAACCACCACAGCTCCAAGAATTGCACAGTATAAGGGAATGATATCAATATCCTTTTCCCGAGGCTTGTGTTCTTTCTGGATGGTGTGCTCATTAGGGATGTGATATTTACCCCCTGGGTTTGTGCTGTAGATAGGTACACCTGAAAACAATAATAAAGATGTTGATCCCACAGAATAACATATACATGTACACACACAAACCTTGTTTATAGTTAGGGCATCATCCATGCATGTAGTCCTATAAAACGTACTGGATACATCATAGAAATTAATGAAATATTTAGGCATTAGTGTGACAATAATCTTCTTTTATACATTCATTTGATATTATCATATTTGAAGGATGTATTTACAACTGGGTATAATAGCAACCTATCTTTAGCATGTTCAGAGAAATTTCTTACCCCTGTAATGATCATATTCACCATTCCTATCATACCCTCTATAAACCTTGACTAAAATTGCAAATTCAATTTACATGGAATGCGCTTTAATCATCTTCCAACCACAGTTTAATCTGTCACGGAACTGCTGCCATGTATAAGGATAGACTCATTAAAGATGAACTCAGCTGGACTAATGCTGCTAATCTTGCCCATATAAACTTCAATCTGCATAAAAACGGTCAAAATGTGTATGAACCTTTTGCGTGAGGGCAAATGAGAGATGAACATAGTTGCCTTCAAAGAGGGTAGTTTAATGATCCTGACGGCTTTTTAGTTTTAGTACAGCTGATTATAACATAGCCACATCTAACACAGATTCTGCAAGATCATACACACGGATTCATAACTCCTCCTTTAAGTTAGGGATAATTACAAAACAGCTGACAACTATCAACAAGATTACGAGCAGGGAATAAAAAACCCTCGTCTTTGGGGGAAATTCCTTTGCTCCCTTCCATGTCATAAAACAGGCAAATGAGGTGGGTAAAGTATGATGGCTTCCGCACCAACGTTGTTACAGTCCCTACAAACAGGCTGTATACATCACGCCTATCATATCTTACATATAACGCCTGCATATTATGCCAAAAAATCATATAAAAAGTGCTTCCCAGGTACGAACCCTGCTCATGATGGATACTGTTTTACACATAATTAGCAAAACTGAAAATCGTACAGAAGTATGTCTTTTCCAGATCCTTTGACATGAGTTTTTACTATTTTCTCAATTACAAATGGTCAAATAAGACTGTTATTAATATACAAATACCACTTTGCTTAATTTTGTTCAGAGTAATTACATGAAGATTACTTTGTATCTTCTCCTTAAAGTGCTGCAGTCATAAATTACAAGTCCTAAAATTTCTTGAGCTTAAAGAGTGATTCTTGTTCTGAATATTGCATAATTCACACATAGAAATAGTCAACATTAGTTTTCCGGAATATGTTGTTATAGTGAAAGTATTATCCAAAATGGCCGCCAAGATGAACTGGCAACCAAACAGCTGTGTTGAGGGAAAGATTCTCATCATAATAAATGCAACACGCCAGCGGAAAATCACTGCCTTTTCAAAAGCATACTGTTTTCTCTGACTAGCAATAAATTTTGAGATTATTTTTGCACATGTGAGCATGAAAGAAAGCAAGTTAGTTTGCCAGGGGCCATATATGGTCTAGATATCAAACGCAAGCTTCACTGGGTTGAATGTCTAAAACTACAGTGAATAAACCTACACCAAAACTTAACTACTTTTTGTATTTTTGCAGTGCCAATGCTGAACGATTTCAACAAACTACAAAGTTTTCAAAATGTGTCATTAAGCCAAGATCATACCACCCAATTCAATATGAAATGATAGTGATATTCTTATGTTGTACTGAAATGTTTTTGATAAGTTTCCATAACAAGCTCACAAAGCACACTTTCATCAAAGGTTCCCTGTGAAAGCCTTCCATAAATCATTAAATTCAAATGAGACAAATATTTTGCATATATTTGAACATGCAAGTTGTACATGTGACAAACCACCTTTTTAAGCATGAAAGGGAACCTTTGAAGTTTATCAGAATGTTCTTTTGCCCCTTGTGAGGTAATTTAAGACTATTCCATGATAACTTGATATAATTCTGAATAGTCCTCAAACAAACAGAACAGAAAGCTTTCTGTCTCTTGAGTATTGATGATGCCAAACATTTTAATTGCTTTAAACATTCTTAAAAAATGTTTAATCTAAAAGTGAGCATGTGCTCATCAACAGATAGTTTGATGAAAGGAATCCTTCTTTTGATATTTTTAACATGTTACCTCTTAAGACCTGTTTATTAAAATGTCTAATGCATTTAAATATCTTCATTGATGCTTAATAGTGATTTTTGCTGCAGTCTCTTTTGGTAATACGTTTTTCAAACATCAAAGGGAAGTTCAAGCAGCACATGCTCATTTGACAAAACTGCTTCAAATGTGAGCATTAACTGTATCAATGTATATTTAGCATATATATTAAGTTATCAATTTTGCAGAAAAATGAAAAAACAATTCATAGGATTGTTGTATTTCGGAAAGTCATGGCTACCAATTATCTTGAATTTTCAAATTGTGCACAATTTAACTCTGGCCTATTCCTGACCTGCTATAATGTCGTAATTGAGCAAATTTTACGAGCTTGCATAAAACTCATCCCAACGTGTTTGATACATGACGACATTAAAGCCAAAAGGGAGTTTACAACTCTCTAGAGACGATTCTCATAACGCTTTATGAATTCAAATATATCACACATTTCTACAGTTAGTACCAACAGTCTATGTTATCATTCATACGGTGCTTTGAACTTGTTTTTTTAACGACACATACAAAGTGCTACAAATTCTATAATGCCAGGATCAATCAATATTATGCATGATGCAAAATGTTATCCAACGCCTAAAATGTAGCATTTGCACGACTCATCTACAATATTACGCCCATCCCCCACCATACCTAATTAATAGCCATTATTTGGTTTAGGGCTAAGAGCGGGGTGGTCCTAATTCTGCCGTCTTTCTCCTTTCATACAGTTTCAAAGGGAAATTGTCTTTGATCATGGCTCTGGTGCAAATGTGAACATCGGTAAAATATTGTTGAGTTTGATCTCGCTAACTTTCCGAAGCCCGTAGAGGCGATCACGGACATTGATGATGTAATTATGCTCTAATGAAATCAACGTCCTGAGGGGAATCTCTCGTAGAATTGGATCTAACATTACAAAGAGCTATTTCAAAGGAAAGCTGTTGTTTTATGTAATTTGGGGATGGAGTGATTTCAGTGGGATTCCTTTGTTTTATGTAATTGGAAGACAAGAGCCGACTGCTCTCTACAATAAACGCAAAAACGTTGCCCACAAAAATGTCAGATGTTCAATTCGTGTTTTGAAGTTCTTTCAGATGCTTTTTGTTGCGGCATTATTTTTTCACTAAGGGAAAGATTGATGGGTAGGGAATCGCGGGGCTGTCAGCCATTTTCTTTGTGTTGTCAAACATTGAGGATCAGTTTAATTCCATACCAACTTTCCACTACCAGTAATAACAAGATATTTAACTTCAGATGCCGTGCAAAGTTTCTGTTCCAGTTATAAGATGATATTCAACTACTTGTTTAGTTTTGCCTTCCTTATAGCAGTTATAACATGATATATACTGATAATTTATTTTTTTGTTATTATACATATATGTAGCATGGAATATAATATTAATACATCTTATTGTAACAGCAATCTCTGTTAGATTCCAAGAGCATGTTAACAAAGTTTTCTCATTTCAAAGGTTCTGCATGATCTGTGAAGTATCTTTGAAAAGATCACTTGAATTGATATTCCTTTTATGTTAAGAGATAAACACTTTGTCTTGAGAGTATACTATTTGCCTAATCACAAGCTGTTGCCAGTGTATCTTATTGAGTTAGAAATGAGTTTTATCACGTTTTTGTTGGGTAAACATTATCAACCATGTGCACAGATGTAACAGTGACAGGTGAATAAACATTTTTTTCTAATAGGACAAACCGTTGAAATATACCTTCCTTAAACCCTGAGGAATAAGATTTGCTGAAAGTAAATTGATATTCAACTATGTACATCCAAGTAAACTTAACCCTCATATCATCATCATTACAAATTAATGCTGATGGAAAACATGCAACTAATTCTATCATTATCTACTTTCACAGAATGGTCATTCACTTCTTTCTTGCTAGCTGCATGGGTAATCATCTTAGATATTAAATTGTCAACAACTAGTGCACTAAGCATTATCATATTAACAAAAACAATTTATATTCAAATGAAATTAATCATTTATTTCCTTTGCAGAAATGATTCTGATTTAATGTTGTTTCACTAGACTGTATTCTATGTATTTAGACAAAAACAGGATTTGACAAGTTAAGGACCAATGCTAACAAAATGATACCCTTTTGTGCTGTTAAATAGAAAAAAATTCTCTCCAAAAATCTCTCTAACAAAAAGATGGAAATTATGTTTTGGCTCTGACTTTGAACCAATATTTAACTGCACTATCTCATAAGCTATCGGCAATGTTTCGTCAATGTTGAATTTCCAATCATCTGTGATAATTTGACTCAATTCTGGTCAAAGCCCAAAGTGAAACTAGTTGTGTGGAATAATGTGATTGTGTCCTCCGAGTTCTTCTCTTCCACAGGACTGTGTGAAAGACGTTAAGACAGCTCTTTCACTGCTAAAAGCTATTCCCCTTTGACTTGTTTAGAAACAGGTGCCTTAGAGACACACTCTAATCCTTTAGATGTTCGCACTGAATAAAACTTTCCTTTTCCTTTGGTTCATGAAAAGGGACTTGGCCCTTTTGGAAAGTTGATGATCGTTTTCTTTCGAAAAAAAAACACCCCTAAGCATTTGTTTGTTTAGTTTATTTGCGCTTGGGAATTACAATATTATCATTCTGTCTGTTTATTCAATTTGTCCTTTGTCATAAAACTTGGAGAAAAGACCTAACAGAATGTTTGCAGAGCCAACTATCGTATTACACTCTTTGGAGTCCTCTGAGTGCGGATATACCCCATGTCGGGGGGTGGGGTGGGGTGGGGGGATTATTTGGAAACATTGAAAAGAAGATGTCTGGGTTTTTTGGTCAAAGATGATATGGAATACTTTTTAGTATTTTCAGATCATGACAAATAGGGTTTGTGCTTGATATGTGTCCATTTATGTCATGTCATTGACATCGAATGAAGCAGTGTATTATCAAGCTTTCAACAATATTGACAAAAGTGGTTCTTGTGCCCTATAAAGCTGGGTGTGGCGAGTGAGCATATTAACCACTATGCTACCCAAGCATATATATACAGATAAATTTGCTTCCTGATATAATTATTCAAAGATTTATTTAGATTGCTGAAAATACAATTTATGTGCACAAGATTTTTTGTCTCCAGGCATCACAACAGTGCCATATTGATCTGTAGCTCACCTGATTTGATACATTATAAATCATTATACATTAATGAATGTGTTACATTATAAATCATTATACATTAATGAATGTGTTACATTATAAATCATTATACATTAATGAATGTGTTACATTATAAATCATTATACATTAATGAATGTGTTACATTATAAATCATTATACATTAATGAATGTGTTATATTATAAATCATGATACATTAATGAATGTGTTACATTATAAATCATTATACATTAATGAATGTGTTACATTATAAATCATTATACATTAATGAATGTGTTATATTATAAATCATTATACATTAATGAATGTGTTACATTATAAATCATTATACATTAATGAATGTGTTATATTATAAATCATTATACATTAATGAATGTGTTATATTATAAATCATTATACATTAATGAATGTGTTATATTATAAATCATTATACATTAATGAATGTGTTATATTACAAATCATTATACATTAATGAATGTGTTATATTATAAATCATTATACATTAATGAATGTGTTATATTATAAATCATTATACATTTATCAATGTGTTATATTATAAATCACTTTATTTGAAGTTAAAAGTTAAAGAGAGAGATGAATTGCATTTTACATCTCATTTTAGACCTGTATAAAATATTTCATGACTTAGCAAGTATGGTTGCTTTATTTCTTTCAACAACCAAACAATTTATATTAACTTTAAATCATTTCTGAACAGAATTGTTTCGTCTGTTTCTGGAGGTATTAGACAATGTCTTGTTACTTACTTAGACATATTGTATCCTGGGATGGCGAGCATGTCTGCAGCATCTTCTGGTCACTGGAGCAAACTGTGCATGGTTGACATTTTTCAGTGAAACTGATTTCACGAGCAAATGTTCCATTTGGACAAGAGTCACACACTGAATTCTGGTTAAGGCTGCACTGCACTGAGATTCCCCAGCCTCCTGGGCAAATTTCACAAGCCTTACACTCTCCAGTGTCTAAAGAAAAGAAATATTCTGATGCACATTCGCACACAGTGTCATGAGTAGTATTGCATGGTGATTTCACAAATGCATCCTTTGGGCACTTGGTGCAGTTCAGACAAGGCTGAGAGTGACTTCGGTGTGGTGAATAGGTACTTCCCTCTGCACACTGTTCACATGAGGTGTTATTTACAACAGTACATTGCTGAGTAGCCCCGGACCCTGCCGGGCATCTTGTACAACACTGTTGTCCATTTAAGTCATATTCATCTTTCTCACAAGCACATTGCACCATGACCTGGCAACACTGAAATAAAAGAAAGACATTTGTGAAATCTTAAAAGCATTTCTACATTAAAGCAAGTAAAAATCAAAAATATGATACAGAAAAAAATAAGTTGACATTTATAACACATTTATACTGAAAGTATAGTACTGAGTGATCATTCAAAAGTCAGTTAGGAATAGTCATCAGATCCTCCAGAAGATACAATTTTTTTCATACCTTGCTCACTACTTGAATCCTATTCTTATAGATCATACATGCATAACCACTCATTCATTCAAACATTCATTCATTCCAAATTCAGACTTCTTATTTCCTTAAAGTTTTTGTTGAAAGACATCTTTCATCACCTGTAACCTATTGTACAGTGCTTTTGGGGAACATTCTTCTGTTTAAGGTTTAAATTTGTAATGAACTTTAATGAAATGTTCCCAGCTGATATTCCCTAAAAGGAAGCTGGCTTAATCCTGGTTTTCACTATGATAAATGATATCTATGAAATCACAACAACAAAAAAACCATTCATAATATTTTTTAAATTAAGGATGAGAATTTTGACAACAGAACATGATTTGCCATCAGGGCTCTGCTCATAACTGGTGACCCCAGAAAACCCTTTCAAGCAGCCTTTCATGGCTGGCCATAAAACATACCAACACATCAAAATTATCATGTTAGGATCTGTGTCCGTAGCATTTACAGCAAATTATCGCACTTGTGTTAGAGCCCTGGTTAATTCAAAGTTGGACCTATAAATCAGAGATGAAACTAGAATATCTGTGTAAAATGACAGTTATGCAGGACAAGGGTCTTTGTATCACAAGCTATGAAATACAACTTTTGATTCTGAATTCGTCACTGCCTGGTTGTTCTCTTCTGCAGAGTTGAACCTATCCATCTTTGACCTCAGTCCTTCAAAAGCATCCGAACATACTCAACTTACCAGATAAAATGTAAATAGTTCTTATTTGCCTCAAAATAAAATCATGTTCCCGAGATAAAACATTCAACAAATATATTGGTCTATCCCCTTTATATGAAACCCGAAATTTAATTAAATAACACATTTTCTAACAAACATTTGAACCAAGTCAAAATACATAATAAGCTTCTGAGAAATGGAAATCCAACATAACAATTTTAATAAATCAGTAAATGTCTAATTATAAAGGATGACTGAATTAAGAAGAGAAGAAGTCGTTGAATGAATAACCAAACAACCAACTCCAACCAAGCATGACTGAGAACTACTCCAACTACCAAGTGAGTTTGTTCCTGTAATACCTGTATTCTGCGATCTAATCCCCTCTTTGTGCTGCTCAACCCCTCCTAACATAAGAACCCCCTTCAAACATTGTCCCTGTCTGTATTCATAGCTCCACCCCTCTCTCTACACACACACACACACACACACTCCTGTCACAATTCCCACATGGGTATATGAAAACCAACTGAAACCTTTAGACCTATTAATGTTCTTTAAATTTAGATTGTCAAATACAGCTAAGCTTATTTCATCAAGGAAATACAAATCCATAGTTAGAATTTAATATAAAGGAATTTGTAAAGGATTTGCATGTTGTTATAGAGGGGGTGAAAAATGACTGTGTCAACCCTCTTCTTTGTGTTATTCTCCATGTTTCTCAATGACACAAAGTTCTCAAATAAGTTTATCATGACAGCCACACATATTAATATTCTAATTCTAACTAATGAACCTAGAACTGAACCCTCAACCCCATAATAAACAAGGGATGACCAGATGAATGCATGGAAGTTTATTTCACATGGATAATATCAAAATATATTCGTAAGTGGAATATACATAAATTAATTTCTACAAACACTACTTCCCACAACTTGCACACTCAACGATGTAATGGCATTGATACTATCGCATAATTATGTTTATCTTTGCTGATAAATATTTTCTGCTGTCCCTTTGAAGACGGACTTTTGTTGGCTGATGAAAATGAAATTTGACGTCAAAGATCAAACAAATCCTGCTTTGTAAATAAGTATTGCTTGCATAATTTCTTTCTTCGGGTTCGTCATTCTATGAATCTGAAACAACAAGCCCAGATCATTGCTCATCAGCAATATCAAAATAGCTATTTTCCCAAAATGGCTTTCATTAATGATCAAAGCTAGAGAAAAGATGGTGGTTTTGATCACGGCTCATTGACATAGCAGACTCCCATTAACTGTCAACCATAAAATTTCGCACTCTCCCGCCAAAGGCTACTTTGTCATCGCAATTAGCATAGGAGTGGACTGTGCCATCGCGATTAGAAAAGTCAAAGACACCGTCCGATTGCTATCTCGGTTGTACAAGCAAATTGTCTGGCCATTTTACCCTCCATTTAAACACACTGCAGTTATCAGAAAGACTAGATAAATCCTTTATGGTCGAACTGACCAATTAACTTGGGTCACTTCCTCTTTGATGAGAACGTACACATACAGTTCAAGCAGACGATCGTTGCACGGACTACACATGCGCAATCAGACAAATCAACTTCCGACAGCGCGTGTTCAAGTCAAATTCGATGCATGTGGTTATATCGTTCGCTGTATGGAGAATTGGTTAGTCGCTGTAGGCGGAAGCCAGCGCTTTGATATGAATTTTACGACACATTCGTAATTGAAAACTGATTTTAGTACTCCGTGCTTCGTGAAAGAAGTGCAGAATTAAATGATTTCACATTCATGCTAAATATAACTGAAGGGATATTCTTTGTCCGAGCGTTGCGTGAAACAGGTCCGATATTAAACCATGCTGGAGAGGGATTTTCGGGCGTAGCATTTAATGTTACCATCAGGCATTCAAATGGTGTGATTTTATGACAATGTGAACTAAAACATCAAACGTAACATCGGGTCTACGGCGACAAACAGGATGTATATGTTTAAAAACTTACAATTCCTTTCGTCTCACGAGATAAAATGTACAAAATATCCTACAGGACCACTTTAGCTCGGAAAAAGACAACACCCACTTGGTTTGAGTTATGTATCACTCAAGAGGTTGACAGTTGCCGGCCCCGCGGTACATAGAGGAACTAAGTGTGATTCAAATAAATGCCACTCACGTGCATTCAAAGAAGTTGCACATTAATGTAACGCCATTTTTCAATACGTTATTTTCTCTATCGACCCTAGGTGATCAAACACTGTATACTTAACGTGTAAAATCTCTTCCTAAATGTTTTGGTGACAGCTCTTCGGGCAAAATAACTTAATTGCTTACAAATTGAACTTCTTGACCAAACAATTTTATTGTTCACATTTGACCTGGATTAAATCGTACGATGTTTTCGTACTTAACACCAGATGTATTTCTTTCCATTATCTCAACACCTTGCAATTCCAGTGACAAGTTCCATTCTAAGCCCCGGGGTATGTTCAGACATATACGAGCAGCGCCCAATAAACGCCACGATATTAAATTTTGAAACACATTGTCTCTCATGGGTTGAAGTGTTACTCCTTGATCCACCCTCGGGGGGGGGGGGGGGGGGGGTTCTTTAATTACCTCGTATTAGATTTATTTGAATGACAAATGTGTGATCTGATGTGTCACAACTTGGTCGATGAGAACTGACCCTGTAATCAGCAAGTGATGGCGGGTGATCTAAGTTAGTTTTAACTGGTTACCGTGAAGATGCCATTTAGCGTTCATTTGACAAGAGTTTGACAGCAGTAGGTTCCTTCTTGACAAATACTCTCTAATTGAACACAATGGAACACGACCGTAGTGTCCCAATAACGTTAAATCATCTCTATTTAGCCGCAACAAACATCGCACAAGCGTAACGATGTTACGCTGCAATGACAACAACTGACATTGTCGCTGGATGGCCGTTGGCGTAGTTGTGTGTATAACATTCAATGTTTGCCGGACCGCCGCTCTAAACAGCTGTTTATGCACCTTCAAAGCAAATTTAACGATGTTCTCTACAACTTGCTTTCACAGATTGTTCATCGACCAACGAACGCATCCGACATTACGCGAGGCCCTGTATGGGTTGGTAAAACAAAGCTATATATATAATTTCATCCAAAGGGTACCAATTTTCATACCTTCAAATGTAAAGGGTTTTGGAAGGGACCAAATTATTACACTTACAAATCGGAAGTCTAAAATTTAATGTTGACCTGAACCGATCGCAATTAAAGAACGTAATTTAACAAACTCAGATGGCCGTCGCTTCACCGTTCCGTACCATCCCAGGAGCCCCAGTTGCAACTTTGATCTAACCGCCCATTGTCTCGGAGTTTAAAATGACAGCGTGGGATGACATGGAGTCTAATTTAGTTTATAGATTCAGCGTTCGTCCCTTTATCCCTTGGTAAACCAATGAGTTAGAACAAGACTCCGTGTATCCCCTCACAGACAGAGGTGGGCCACCTGACCGTATAATAAATTAAATAACTTAGTTTACGAGAGGCTAATAAGTTGGGGGTTTTAAAGAAAGGAGTTTAATTACAACCGCCGTATTTGCGACATACGCTCACGTACCCCGAATTTGTCTTTGTGAATGTACCATTGTGCACCTAAATGACATTGTCCTAAATACTAGGACATTTTCAGAACCGTATCCAATCAGTACTAACTACCTGTCTAGAATACACACAGCCGCTTGTTTTGGTGCAAGGAGGTACTAGGTATCCGTTGTCTACAGTTTACTACAGAACTGTTGTGAGTGCAGCAACACATACTTAATGCGTCCAACCACTCTCTTACAATTACCATGCATGTGACACTCCCAACAAAAAACAAGATCGTATAAGTCCTTTCTACCAACCCTTTCTTGGTATCTCTCAGTTACAACCTCGACAGTCCATGGCACCGAGGTAAAATACCCTTTAGCCTATTCGTGTCTGCATGTCTTATTATGCTTTCTATTAGCCGTCTTCTCTTGGCCAAGTCAGGTTCAACGTAAAGTCTCCTAATTTGAACCATTGCCTCTTAACCAATTACAATTATTCCACAGTGTCTGTATGCCATGATAATATGG